CCCATAGATATTTGCAAATGAATGAATAAATATACATTCTTTGTCCTCTTGTCATAGCACTGTAGCAGGAAATATAACAAGCAATTACAATACAGTCTTGTATCCAGCTGCCCTATAACATAAATCCTCATTTCAAAAATTTTTAATCAACTTATTTTTCCTTGAGCTCATTTCCAACCTGTGCAGCTACTTGCCCTACAGGGCTCCTCTCTGTTTATCTAAATCCTACCCTTCCTTCAAGGCAGAACTAAAGTATGATCTTCCATGAAAAGAGGAAAAGGTAAAGCCTTTCTCATTATTTCAGATACCCATCCATCTTTTCCTCTGGGCTCCTATTGTACCTACTGTTCACTTCTGCCTTAATCTTATGCCATATTAAATTGCTACTGAGCTATTCAAATGTACATACTTTATACTCCCAAGCAGATTGGAAGTTTCTCAATGATCTGAATGTTGCTTTTTAATTTTTTGTCTCGTACTTCTTATCTCCACTTTATGCGACAAAATACTATACACGGAGTTTGATTGTTGATTGTTTATTCAGCTTTCAAAGGAACTCATTCTACCTTTTCCATTCACAGGTTCAAGCTTTCTGGAACTGCAACAGAAAATATGAATTGTGCTTATTTTCATAATGGGAAAATTCACCCTACCTTCTGTGAGAACAAACATTATTTAATGTGTGAAAGGAAGGCAGGCATGGCAAAGGTGGACCAACTACTTTAATGCAAAGACATGCACAGCATGTCACAGACAAGTGCTTGATGGTACAATAAGAGATCTGGATGAAGGAATCACTAGCCATAGAATTTCTTATTTTTCCCTTTATTCCCCTTAGGGTCATCTTTACATTATCTTTCCTACCAACACCACTTAGTTCCTTCTTTATATAACCCTTTATACTGAAGAATAACTTAGTGCCTTCTTTATACATCCAAAAACAGTCTATGAGCTGATTGTTTCCCAATGGTTCCATTAATTAATTTCCATTCTTCTTGTCTTCCGTTCCTAGTTATCTCAGCATGCTATGATTCACTGGATCTTCAGACATAAACATACATTTTACATTGAAACAAGAAAGGTTAGCACTTAAATGACTTAAGCTGTGCAAAACATCTAAGTCTGAGACTATGCAAAATATCTAAGTTTGAAAGACAGCATAAGGTAGTGGAAAGTATACTAAACTTGGAGTCAGTAGAATAATTTAGATGGCATGATCACTCAAGTACAACCATGGCTCAATCATGTTGCCTCTTAACTTCCATTTTCTAATATTTAAAATAGGATAACACCTGTCTTATATACCTCACAGTTCCACAACCTAAAATAAAAACTTCAAAGTATTAATTATATCAGAAACTCCATGAAAGCAAACCCCATGACTTTCTTATTTTCTATTCTATGCCAGCAAGCACAGCTTCTGGCTCACAGGAAACAGAAAAATATTGGCTTCTCTTTGTGTGAGATAGTTCATTAGAAAGCACAGCAATCAGTAAAACACTATACACATATAATTTCTATTCCAAGCCCCGCTATGGTCAGCCTCAAGAGCAGTAATTTTCTGTCCAAGAGAAGGAAAATAAAGTTTGCAAGAAAACTGACGGGGTTTGAAAATGAGTAAATGCTTTTTAACAAGTTGCACAGGCTAGTGGAACAGCAAGCAAAAATGCTTTATATAGTTCTTTTCCTGACAGCTCTATGTTTGGCTTTTGCTGAGTAACTCATGCAGTATTTATAGATACGTGGAGAGTCACCCTTTAACAGGATAATAGGCAAAATTTTCATTTCTTTTCACAGCTTCCCTGAAGGTACTCTTTCTCCTTAAATTCATGGCAATAAAATTTATGAACATGAGTCTCAAACATCTCAACTGAGGTGCTTGTTAAAACATGCAGATGTTCAGGGGCTTCCCTGGTGGCGCAGTGGTTGAGAGTCCGCCTGCCGGTGCAGGGGACACGGGGTCGTGCCCCGATCCGGGAGGATCCCACATGCCGCGGAGCGGCTGGGCCCGTGAGCCATGGCCGCTGAGCCTGCGCGTCCGGAGCCTGTGCTCCGCAACGGGAGAGGCCACAACAGTGAGAGGCCCGCGTAGCGGGAAAAAAACAACATGCGGATGTTCAAACACAAATACCTATGGTACTCAGTGGGAAGGCTGAGGAGGCAGAGTTCTATGTTTTTAATAAGCACCCTGACTTGATTCTGATACAAGTATCCTTTAATACATTTCAAGAAATGTTACTTTGGAACTTACTCCCTATCTGGCTTTTGGTAAATTGGTGAGTCTCTTTAAAACTCAGTTTCTTCATCTATGAAATGAGTTTAATATTATTACCTTACTCATGAAGTAATTGTGAGGATTATTTAATATAATTATGTAAGTCATTGAGCAGAGTACCAAGCATATAATTAATAATGAATATGTATAACTTTTATAGCTTTGTGCACTGACACCCAAAGACACTTGAATCTATTTTGTTTTAGACTATCAATAAACAAGCAGATATGCCAGGGGAGGGGCAGCAAGAGGGGGCACTGAGGAAAAATAATAGAAATACTATAGATTCTGCTTCCACTTCAAATGTGTTGAGATCTTGGCTTTTGGGGTATAATGCCATTATTTTCCTGTTTTTACTTGTTTATTTAGAGAAACCAAATTGGAACTAATAATTCAGAAAACTGTCCAAAAATCAGCCATAGCTCTGAAATTTAGTGTTTTATCTCCCCCAATGGAAAAGCATATATTTTATATCGCTATTCATGACTGAATTTTAAAGAATAATATTGTAGTGGATGGCAAAAGTGCAATTAAAAAAATGTAAACCAATCAAACTGTACCTACAAAGATTCTTTTTTTCTGATACTCATATCAAAAGCATCTTATACATAAAATCAGAATAGCATAGACTTTAGTAGCACAGGTAAGTGAACTTGGGAAAATAGATTGACTTCTCCATGCCTCAATTTGCAATTTTGTTACAACATATTAATAATAGTAACTGTGTCACAGAGCTATTCTGAGATTCAAAATAATTCATGTAAAAGGCCTTTGAAACAGTGCTTGGAATATAATGAACAATAAATAAGATAGTATGATTAAAAACATTAAACGTCATACAAGTAACATACTAATCTTTGGCTGGGAGAGCCCACTGTCTCCCCCAAAGAAATTTATCAGAGAGCATTACTATATTGGGGAACCTAGATATTTCTGAGCATTATATTTAGTGCTGATAAAATTTGAGAGCCCCTGGAAATTAATGGCAACCACTGAATTCCGGTTCCTGCATTCTTCCTGACACTCTGCTCTTAATGCATATTTGTTGTGCTTATTGTTTCTTCCTCTTCTCTACCTCAAGATAGAAATCATTTCAATGTAAAGGCTATAGGGAGTTAAGTCACATTATTTTCTCTGCCAGAATCTCAGGTCACATAAAAATCCTATGACATATTTGGAGAATTTGCTGGATGTTCTCCATTTGCCTCTTGAGATCCTCTTGGCCCCATCCTATGTCCTGGGAGGCAGAACTCCAAAGTACAGCAATATCTAGGCAAACTTGGCCTCTGGCTTCCAGTTAACTCCTCTATTGGGAGGTACTAGCAGTGATCAGGGGGGGTGAAAGGGGAGAACGGTCCGGGTGTTTATGCCGCTGGCTGTCGCCTACAACACCCTGGTTTGGCAAAGGCTTCAGGTTCTGTGTCTTAGGCCATGGCCCTTTCAGATAGGTCACAAAGTTCCAATAATTACCCTCCCCTTAACCCTTCAGGCCTGGGTGTGATCATCGTTCCCCAGTGCATATTTCACAACCCCTTTCTGGTTTCCTTAATCCTTTCCCAATCTTTACAAAACCATCTTTGTTAAATGCCCTCAGATGCCCCCTTGAGTGCGCCGTTTGTTTTCTTCTGTTACAGAGATCAATGGTTGATCCAGTGAGACACTGCGACCAAAAAGAATTTTGCAGATTGTTGGGATTTGCAGACTGTAAATTACTGAGACACTACTTTTGGCCGTAAGGACAAATGGCCAATATATGAATGATGATTAAAGTATCAAATTTCTCAATACCAATGCTGTAGTCACAGGATGTGGCAGAAACAGCCCTCTATCCACTAAATAATTCATGCTTCCCTTCTAGAGTGAAATTATTGTAGAAAGTTTGCTAGCCAGGCAAAACTTAGGCTTATCAGGACCAAACTGTAGATCCAAACAGGGCACTATTAGTAGATGTGAATGTCATACATGATAACTCAAGGTTACGGTTTTTAAGAAGCAGATGTGGATATGCCGTCTTCTCCTTTTCTTTCCATTGGCTAGAAGTATGACATTCCAACCACCCACAAAATAGAAGGAGTGGGGTTGCGTTTGGAGGAAAACTACCCACTAACCCGTATTACTGGAGCTAAATTGTTACGTGAGCGAGAAATAAACTTTGCGTTAAATGACTGATATTTTGAGGTTTACTTGTCACAGCAACTGCATCACCCCAAATAATACAGTGTGTAAATTTATTTGAGGGATGAAATCCCTTCCCAGTTTTCTTGTTTAAGGACGTACAGTGATCTACAACTCCTTCCACGCTGGTTGGCCCAATGTGAGCTATCCTCGTATCTTTGCCATCAAGGTCATTCCACACTTCACATCCTAAACCAAATGTAAGCTCATTCTCTGCACTTCTGGCCTTTTCATTTTAACAGTAAGCCAGTGCTATCACCTTCAACATCGGCTACATTGTAGAAACCAGAGCAATCACCTATTCTATTATTGGCCATTTTGAGTTCCGTTTCTTTCTCACTTCCTTATTTACCAAGTTATGCTTTGGCTTAAACTTCTACTTTCTGGATGAAGATGCCTCTATTCTATTCCTTAAACTCAAACATATTTCCCCACTGGTGTGAAAATGTAGCTAATTTCAGTTCTTCCATTAATCTGCTCCTGACTACAAAAGGAGTTATTTGCCTCAGCTTCTCATGTGGACCCCCTTACCTGTCAAAGCACCTCAGACATGCAGGAGGAAGAAACATACACCTCTCTTCAGTGGGATAATCCAACACCAAACCCTTACCAGAAACATCTGTCTTCCACCAACAATTCAGGTAACCAGTTCTATTTAGACCAAGACCTTGTGGTTTATGGGTTGTCTTTTTTCCTGTTCTATGAGGAGCCCAAGGTGATTTTTCTAATCTGAGATAACCCACTTAAGAGTATTATAATGTGCATAATATGATGCATAATATTGCATAATATGCCATAGTATTATAATATGTATAATATTAAAAATGAAATGAAATGGAGAAGTAAAAATGAAAAAGGAAAAGAGAAATGGACTTGACAAATATGTATTACATTGGTTTTCTCCCTCTCTCTCTCTCTCTCTCTCTCTCTCTCGCTGGAAAGACAAAGAATTCCTGGATTTGGAAAATAAGTGAAAGAAATCATATATTTTGTGTAATTTTAGTTCCCACGTAAAAAAACCCTGCACATTATCTGATAAATACTAAGAAGTAAAAGAGAAAACGTAGGTTGAAAAAACTGGCAAACACTCATCAGCCTGGATCGGTTCTGTCTTTACAGTTTAATATTTGTATTAGTCTCCTATTGTTTAGGTAATATATTACCACAGACTTAGGGGCTTAATACAACACAAATTTATTTTCTTATAGTTCTAGAGATCAGAAGTCCAAAACGGGTTCCGCTGGGCTGAAACCAAGGTAACATGGGGCTACCTTCCCTAGAGAGGCTCTAGGGGGCAACCCATGCCCTGTCTTCTCTAGTTTCTAGAGCTGCATTTCTTGCTTTCCTTAGCTTGTGGCTCCTTTTCCATCTTCAAAAGACAGCAGCACATTTTCAAATGTCTCTCTGCCTCCTCCGTCATATGGCAGTCTGTCCCTCTAATCTAAATCTCACTTATAAGTGCCCAGGTAAAACAGGATAATCTCCCCATCCCAAGATCACTAACTTAATTATACCTTTAAAATCTCCTTTTCCACGTAAGGTAACACTTACTGGTTCCAGAGATTAGGACATAGGCATTTCGGGCAAAGCTCTTATTCAGTCTACAACATTATCCGAAGATAAATTTTATACATTTTTCTGTAACTGGCATTAAGAATATAACAAATCACACATTCATTTTTCTTTCCTGAATAGTTGCAAAATTACCTTAAAAAATTGTCCTCATCCAAAATCGTACATTCAAAGGGAAATACCTTTGAACCAATCATGCTCAAGTGACACTGACAGGAGATGAGATTGGAGACAGCCTCTTTGCTCTCAGAAACTAAAGCCTGCTGCCTGGCTTGCCATCATCTCTAAAAGATTGTTGGAAGAGAATACATCTACCTAGTTACTAAGTTTGTGGTGTTATATAAGGATAAGAGAAGTATACTATTCCAAATCCAGTGTATTCCAAGTTATAACTTGCATTTCAAAGAGTTTGAGTTTACCTTTTCCTGTTACACACAGTTACAAGGCCTGCGTGATTCTCTAGAAGGAATGTCTAATGTTAACTCCTTAGTTTACTCTGGGTAGTCCTATCCGGACCCACCTCTTTCCTCTACTTTCTCTAATTCAATTTAATTGTCTCTATTCCTTGTTTAGGAACATGGTGTCTTGTGATGGTGGTTTTATGTATCCTCTGCATAGGCTCATTAGCAACCTCCATTTTCTTGGGTGTCAAGTGTAAGTACAAAAGGATATCTTCAAAATAATCTATAGATAGGTTACATACTTCATGTAGTGTTATATACAATTATATGTATGTATGTCGTGGAACTGGAACTTCATAATTCATAAATGGATAGACAAATCAATTAGAAACATCTAAATGACATAAATGATACAAGATAATGGCTTCCTTATTTAAGTTATGGGACATTTATTTGATATAACTCTCTAAGCACTCGGATGCTAATCATAACTTTTAATGTTCAATTGCATGTTGTTTAACTCAAATCTAATACCATAGGTCTGTTGGGGAAAAGGATGCAAATAATTGCTTATATCGTGATTCAATTTATGAATCGTGTTAGTATGCCAAAGCTTGCAATTTGTAAGTTTTCAGTATAGGCTCTTCCTTTTCTAATATACATTTGTTCTAAATTTGACTTATACGATTATTTTAATATGAGTTTTTCACTTTATATTTGATGAGGTACCAGTTAGTATGTTTAAGGTAAATGTGAGAACTTGTTTGAGCCAATATTTAACCACATTTCTTGATTCTTTTTAGTCCAAACTGGAGACATGTTTCTATATCTAGCAAATGAATTTTTTATAAAGTGTAACAATTACAGAACTGCAGGTTCCAGAAACAGGACTAAGACCCTTTATTATCACTCATGCTAGCACTGAGAAATATTCTTAGCAAGACAGAGATGAAGGTTATTGTCTGGATAATTCTTATTTCTTGTATACCTTGGCAAATCATTTTTCTGTCTAGGAGGAATTAGCCGGCAAAGGAGAATTAGGAGTTCTGAAATGAAGAGTACAAGGTTCGCTTCCACAAAGTACAGGAAACTTGACCTTGTTCATGTTAGCTATGATCTTATTTTCGTGGCGGTTCAGAGAGGAATGTTTTAGCAATTTCTAGGCTCTCAAGAAGTAACTGTTACCTTGTCTATCTCCTCAAATAAAATTTCACAGCCCAGCATAAATGTCAGAACTTCCCTTATCTCACCTTATCCTCCCTCTGTACTTTATTAAAATACACATAAATATAAATATATATAGTATATATAATATACTATATATATTTATATATATAATACTAGTCCATTTTTAAAAGAAATTCACAATTAAATATCTGTTTATCAAACATATATACTGGAAGCAGATTTGCAGAGTTGGAAGAGAACTACCATATAAGTCAATTAACATATAATAATCCAGTTTTTTCTGTAAAAACTGGGGACTCTTAATGAAATATTGCCAAGTTCCATTCTAACTGCAAGAATACATATTTAACTGACATTGCAAATATCAAAAGATATGGTTCAGGTATCAATTCTGCATAACAAATTTCAGTGTTATTTTATAAATATTAACTATTTATAAAATAACACTGGGGTAAAAAGATGAAAGAAACTTGAAGTACAGACAACAGTTTCACTTTAAAGCAAAATAACTGAAGGTGCAACATCTTGAAACAATACTGTCAAGTGAATGGAATGTAGAATTCGTTTTGTACATAAAAATAAATCTATAGTCTCCAATCATCAGTTATTATATAGCCAAAAAGCACATAGTACATACTAAGGATGTTGATAAAATCATACTGTACATTTTTATGTCCTCAAAAATCTTGCTCTCTGATGGGCACATAATTTTGTTTTCTTCTCTGTCTAGTTTATGAAATCTGTTAAGATCAACCATGACAATCATGTTCTTAACAAACTCTGGGTTATCTTAAACTGAATGAATTAATTTTGATCTAGAAATCCCACTTCTGGAAAGTTTTCCTATTGATAAACCTGCACGTGTAGCAATAGGAAGGAAAAAAAAAAAAGATTGAAAAAAATGCAATTGCCTATCAGTAAGGGACCACTTAATTAAAAAATGATACCTCTGGGCTTCCCTGGTGGCGCAGTGGTTGGGAGTCCGCCTGCCGATGCAGGGGACACGGGTTCGTGCCCCGGTCCGGGAAGATTCCACATGCCGCGGAGCGGCTGGACCCGTGAGCCATGGCCGCTGAGCCTGCGCGTCCGGAGCCTGTATTCCGCAACGGGAGAGGCCACAACAGTGAGAGGCCCGGGTACCGCAAAAAAAAAAAAAAAAGAGAGAAAGGATGTGTATTACAAAAGCGTCTGGAAAGACCAGGTTCCAACAGGCACCTCTTCCTCTCCACGTAAGTGTCCTTTCACGACACAATTTCTCTCTTGGATCAGGAACCACCGATGTGTACACAAGACACCTTGGTACTTGGGAGCCCAAAATGAAGTCTTGCTTGGGAATTGATGTCTTGCTGACCACCTGACATATTGCTGAGAGATAACTAGCCTCAACAGCAGAGCCTTCTCAGGGTCTCTTTGTAACCAGGGACAAATCATCAATGGTATGTCATCAATGAACAATGCTGACAAGATAGTATAATCTGGCCCCCCAAATCCTCATACCCATGATAACAAAGCTACGCTATTAATTTGTATGTTTCATGCCTCGTCCAGAGATCAGTGTCATGTAGGAATTTTAAAAACACTGCTCAGGCTGATTCCAGGCCAGCCCGAATTAATTCTCACGGCACAATAAGGACCACATATATAACACTAGAAACCCAATGGAAAAAATTACCAAGGATATAATTATACACTTCATTGAAAAGAAAATACAACTGACCTTTATTTATACATGTGTGAAAAGAGTTTCAACATCAAACATAAAAAGATACATGCAAATTCAAACGAAATTGAGAGAACATTTGTATGCGATAATAGAATATATACGTTCGTGTCTCTCCCCTCTACTCTGCTGTGACAAGAGCACTGGGAACATCTCTCGTTCTAATAATTGTCTTTGACCAGGTCCCTGACACAGGGCTCCTGAAACGCTTGTAAATTCCTAAGTGATAAGAACACTTGGAACATCTTTTGTTCTGATGAGGTGACTGTGGATGGACTCCTGTATGGGGGCTGGTCACCAGCAAGACCACACCATGATTAGAAGCTTGGAATTATCAGCTCCACCCCCCATCCTCCAGAGAGGAGAGAGGAGCTGGAAATGGCATTAACCATTGATCATGCATGGGACTTCCCTGGTGGCGCAGTGGTTAAGAATCTGCCTGTCAATGCAGGGCACAAGGGTTCGAGCCCTGGTATGGGAAGATCCCACATGTCGCGGAGCAACTAAGCCCGTGTGCCACAACTACTGAGCCTGTTCTCTACAGCCCGCGAGCCACAACTACTGAAGCCCATACGCCACAACTACTGAAGCCTGCGTGCCTAGAGCCCGTGCTCCGCAACAAGAGAAGCCACCGCAATGAGAAGCATGCGCACCCCAATGAAGAGAAGCCCCTGCTTGCCGAAACTAGAGGAAGCCCACGCGCAGCAACGGAGACCTAATGCAGCCAAAAATAAATAAATAAAATAAATTTATAAAAAAGAAAAACAAAAACAATTGATCATGCCTACATGAGGAAGCCTCCATAAAATCCCAATCCCAATAGTGTGGAGTCGGAGAACTTCCAGGTTTGTAAACACATCCACACTGGGAGGGTGACACACCCAACTCCAACTCCATAGGGACAGAAGCTCTTGAGCTCGGGACCCTCCCAGACCTCTCCCAATGTATCTCTTGACCTGGTGGTTCATCTGTACCCTTTATCATACCCTTTAAAAAACTGGTAACTCATTTCCCTATTAGTGAGCTGCCTTAGCAAATTAATTGAACCCAGGAGGGAGTCATGGGAACCTCCAATTTGTAGCCAAATCAAACAGAAGTTGTGGAAACCTGGGGACCTACTACTTGCATTGGCATCTGAAGCGGGGAGCAATCTTTGGGACTGAGCCCTTGACCTGTGGGATTGTTACTTTCTCCAAGAAGATAGTGTCAGATTGAATTAAATTATAGGACACTGAGCTGGTGTTGTGGAGAAGGGCGAGGGTGGTGGTGGTGGAGAAACCATACATTTGGTGACCAGAAGTGTCAGAAATGTCAAGGTGATTCACAGGAGAAAGGCTTATAGAAGGAAAAACTGAGTTTTCCCTATACAATTTGCATCAGCACACATGGAAGGTAATTTGGAAATATCTAACACAATTTAAATGCACGAAACTTTGACCCATCAACGTATCTTACAAATATACTTACACATGTGTGAAATTATGTGTAACTAAGGTTCTTTATTACAACACTTCAGTAATATCAAAAGATTGCAAATAGTCTAAAATAGAGAATTATTAAAATAAATCATGACATATCCATACAGTAGAATGCTATATAACAAAAGAATGAAAAAGCTCTTTATGTACTAACACAGTATTATGTCCAAAATATATTTTAGGTGTTAAAATAAAAAGTGAAAAGCCATGTAAAAAGATTGTTACCATTTGTGTAAAGGGGAAGGAAGAGATTTTATATTCATTTGCATGCAAAGTTCAAAATATCTCTGGAAGAATAAAAAAGAAATTGGCAAACCTGACTACTTTGGGAGACTGGAATTGGGTGAATAAGGAAACAGGAATGGTAAAGAGCCTTTTTGCTGTGCAGTCTTTGTAGGTTTTAATCACAAATGTAATCAGTAATGTGTAGTTCTCTTTAGTCTGTGTTGACAGTTTACTTTGTTATATGTCAGTATTTTATCAGGAATGGTTGTTATTGTTTGAAGTGTTCCAGGTGTCCACTACTGCAATGAAGCAGCAAGAAAAACTCACCCAACAGGACAGAGTACTGCTCAATTTCACACAATGGAAGAGAAACCATGGCCTGCAGATGAAATATTGCCAAAGGTTGATACAGAAGTCTTTCAGTTCAGGTAATTGATACAAAATCAGTTTCCACTGTGTGGACACACATGTATACACCAATTCCTCAAAAGAACAACAACAACAACAAAAAGCCAGTGACATACATTTTATTCTTTGTAAAATTATAGTCAGGATTTCATAATAGGAGAGACATATTTTTGATCTACACTTCAGTTCAATCTCACATATATACATATATATATATATCAATAGTATGTGGAAAATACTGAGGTTCCAAGAAATACAGATAAGGAAAATATACAGTCAAATGTCAAAATGGAATGTGTGAGATTAGTAGGTAAGATTAAACAACAACAAAAAGAAACATATTATGTTTTATCCAATCATTCAAATTTATGTGTATCTTTAATTAGAGCTCCAAATGCCTCAATTTATTTAGTTTAGATCTTGCTTTAGACTCAAATTTAGATACTCCTGAAGCAGAAAATTCATTTTGAAAATCAGGGTACTTACAAAAATTATAACAATGCAGGGTTCAGCTCATTTTTAAAAATTCTATTAAGTGACTTTGGTTTTATCTTTTTCATCCCTTACAGGCATTTTAAACCTGTCTATATTTCTACTTGTTAATAGTGTGTCAAGTACTCTATGGTTACTTAACTAGTGTTTAATAATACTAATACGTAAAATTTAGAGAATTAACTTCCCTGTAGTGGATATCATCTTAGTAATTGTCAATAAGAGAGGTCAAAAACCTACCATAGCTCCTTCTAATTGAAATTTAGTCAAGTAAATGTTTAAAAAAATCAATGTTTTGAAATATAACAGACTACTGAAAGCATGAGTTAGGCCCGCCTCTGAGCCATCAACCTTAAATCAGTGACGATATCCACTTTGGAGACTTACAAATCCAGCATGTTCTCAACCTTTCAACTGCCACTTCAACACTACTTATGCTATGACTTTAACAATATTCAGGATACTGATTAGAGTGTATTTCAAACAAAGGATATTGAAGAGCCTTAAATAACTTGACATCTGTGCCATGGAAACTGATAATGAACCATTTTTGACCTTAAGTAGAAGGCTTTTCTCTAATAACTAGTGTTCTGGCAGTTTCAGTGTCTTTCCCTCTATAAAACTGTGCCAGAAACACTTGGTCAAATTCCTGCTTTTTGGTTCCCCTTTTATACATTTGAGCATCCTTCTTTTGTGAATACATTCTTTCTTAACACAGGTTCTGTAAAACTGGTTAAACACTGTGGCTTACTTCTTAGTTATATCAAAGTCCTAAAATAAACATATTGGTCAGTTGTGTTTTTGTTCACTTTTCCTCACGCACAAATTTTAAAATCATTCCTCAAGGTGCATTGTTTGTTCTCTCCATTCTGTGCGAAAAATTTTCATGTTTAACTCTCAGAATGTAAGCATCAACTTAAGGCTTATTATGCTACTCACCTAATTAATTGGGAATGTACTTATTATTATGCTTGGTACATTCCCAATTAAATTGGGTCAATAAGATTAAAAGACATGAAACAAGCAAACAGATGAAGATTATAAATGATGTAAAGTTAAAAGGAGGAAAGATTTCTAAAAATAAAATAATCAGATCCATTATTATAGAGGAGGAACAATTTGGGAATAGATATTCTCAAATTAATTTTATCTTAAACTAATTCTTAGAGACCTACTGCACTTGGAAATAATTATATAAATCTTACTGTATTCAGCCTCAAAGCAGCTGAAGTTGGTAAGTACTGCACCATATGAACCATTGGGTTAAAGAGTCCAGCTTTACTGGGAGTGACACAAGGGTTCTTTTGAGAAGATATGCTACTAATATTTTTACAATAACTTTAATAAAATGTTTATATTTGAAGCCTGTAACTGCAGCCCTTGTCCAGACAACTGGATTCACAATGGAGAAAGTTGTTACCATGTCTTTGAAAGCTGGACAATTTGGCGCAAGAGTAGAGAGGATTGTTGGAAGGAGGGATCTAAGCTTCTACAAATAGACAGCAAAGAAGAAATGGTAAACACTGTTTTATGGTCTCACATCATTCTGAAAATACCATATGACCCATTAAAAGAAAAGACTTGTTCTCATAAGACAGAATTCCTTGATACTCTATAACAATGGTAGATTTGTTGAAAAAAAGGTTTAACACACAAAGTAAGAATTAGCATGGCTTAGTTTCCTTTTAACTGGAGAAACAAAAAACGAGATGGTTATTCAAAAATCAAGGAGAATATGTTAGTCCTATGTCCTTTGTTAATCAAAAAGGGGAAAGCGTAAGAGAAATACCGTTTTGTAACATGGTAACCCACTCCCAGATATGCATACGTTATAAGTGTATGTATGTCTTAAATGTCTTATTTTCAATGCTGTAGGGAAGTATAATAAGCTATAACAATTTTGTAATTATCAAGAAAGTGTAAAAAGTGAGGTGAGGTCATGAAATGGAGAGATTTATGAAAATAAGCATTTGCTAAATGAAAAGTTTAATTGACCTTAAATCTAGTTTACTAACATCTTAACGAGCCAACAGTAAGACGTTTCCCTGAAATCATTCTACCCATAAATTATGTGCGAAGTAGAAGGCATAGTAACACATTTCTGAATTTATTAAAAATGTATGCCTACTATATTCAGTAACTAGTCAAAATTCATTTTTGTAAGAGTAATAGTTAAGGCTATGTAATAAGCCAAGGCAACTTGGACTAACTTATTACAATTATGGGTTCACACTATTTTTTCTGTGCAAATTTAGTGACAAAAGTTAGAAATATTTCTTCTCACTAAATATGCCTACAGTTAAGTTGCTTCTGGAATCTTCTAAACTATTTCTCGCATTGAAATATCCTGGGAAAGTCATATACTATATGCCAAATCCTGAATCTGTTAAAACTATTTTGATACCAGATGCTTAATTTTTCCATAGTCCTTAACACCACATTGATCATTTAGCAATAGGGAAAAAGGTATCCTTTCTTTTAAAAATCCTCTCTCTCTCTCTCTATTTCCAGCTCTCAAATTCTAATTACTTCTGTGGAAACAAAATACCACACTTTATATTTCATAGTAACTTATTGGGGTTTTTCTTGTAGTACCCCCCACCCCATCCTCAGTTCACTGTTCAAGTCTTGTTTCTTATAGGACTTTATCACTGGCAGCCTGAGCAAGATCAAAAGAAACTATGATTACTGGGTGGGACTGTCTCAGGATGGGTCCAGCCAACCTTGGCTTTGGCAAGACGGCTCCTCTCCATCCCCTGATCTGTAAGTCTCTGAGGGTAACTTTCCAAGAAGAATTAGACACGGGGGAAATCAAAAGTTCATTTTATCTTATACCTTACATTTCCTCCAGAAGACATAACCAGCATGATAATTTCACAGGCTTCTGATTGGAATCAAAGCCAAGATAATTTAAGAATGGCTACATGACTTCTAAATTTTCTCTGTCTCAGCCCCACTGCCATTACACTGTAGCACATTCACATCAAAATTTGAGTCTGAATGAACAATACTGTGTGATTATCACGTACATTTCCTTTGTATCATTTAAAGGCTAGAGTGCTAAGGGCAAGAGACTATAGTAATTATTAGGCAATTTCCATAGTGAGCTCTCAGAAAGAACTAGGGAGGCTGGTCAGCAGTGCCTTCGTATTTTGAGAATTAAGAATCAGAAAAGAGATTCCAAATTAGAGCCTATCCTTTTGTATTCAAGCTTTTTTTTTTTTTTTAAATGCTGCTTGTTGAAGTAATATTTACATACTTTATTGAGAGAAAATAGTTCTGTTATTGAAGAAGGGCAAAACTACCGCGAGGGTGACAGATTAAAACAAAAGGAAAAGCTGTACATCTCTCATTTTATTGCCCAGAGGACATTCCCATAAGCCCAACACCTAACCTCAGATACACTGACTTGCGTCTTCAGGTCACCAATACGGGGACCCCAATCAACTAACCAGGTCTGTGGATACCTCAGAAACAACGGCCTTTCTTCCGCTAACTGCAGCACTTGGAAATATTTCATCTGTGAGAAATACGCATTAAGATCTTCTCCCTGAAAGAAACTTTGCTTGAAGTGATTGCTCCATTATGGTAAGACCTGCAACAGATCATCGGAAAACCTGTAACAATGAGTTTAAGAGCCAGCGCAGAAGTAAACCAGTGCGAGGGTTGTGAAACCAGCTACCTGAGACACAAAACCTATCTTGCATTTACACTTGGTAATATTCCTCAACATTTTCCAGATGTTCCTTTGACATTGTTCAAATTAATTACCAAGAATAAAACTGGTTTAGAGCAACAGAGGACAAAACCCTAAAGAGTGGAAAACAAGCTGAAGAAAAATCATTTCTATTTGTCATTTTTTTCTTCCTCTCTCTCTCTCTCTCTCTCTCTCTCTCTCTCTCTTTTTAATTTAGAGTGACTGTGAACTCGACAGAAAAATCTATAAGTCACTGGGGAGATGATGCAGCTTTAGCTGACTGATACTCTTTTTAATAAATGAATAAATGTGATCTTTTAAACTCACTGTTTGCCAGATCTTTCTGTGCATTTGCTGGGTTTCCAGGCATTATGTTATTGGACCAGTAGGATGGGAGGACAGAGATATGGATTTTCAAATTGGAAGGAAGACAGGCTGCTGTCTACTGCCTGTAAGACAATACCATTTTTAGGACTGCAGAATTCTGCTGGAGAGATGAACAACCAGAGCTACACGTAAGTGGAAGGAATAGTCAGGCTGCCAATATCAGCGTGTCTCCAGTAAAGAAGAGCTGCGAGCTTCCTTCCTGCCTCTCACTGACCATCCCCACCACTAGCAAATCAAAAAACTCATGATCTGCATCCTCAAGGTTAATACTTTTAACTACATCTCTCTGTGCCTCAATGTCCTCCTTGAAAAACAATAATAGAACTTGCTTCAAAATATTGTTGAGGGCTTGGCCGCTGGGCTTGCGCGTCCCGAGCCTGTGCTCCGCAACGGGAGAGGGCACAGCAGCGAGAGGCCCGCGTACCGAAAAAAAAAAAAAAAAAAGACACCACTTAAATAAATAAGGTGAAATAAAACCTAATTCACTGAGGCAGTAAGAAATCATTTAAGTGAACCTGGAAGTCTATTGTAAAAGATGACCTCTGAAGGAGACATTCCTTTAGGGATGGGAAGGGCATGTTTTTGTGTTTGTTTCTTTATCTACCCTTGACATGGAGCTTAAATGGTGGGAATTTCAATAAAAGGGATTATT